TTCCCTATCAGCACAGAGCAGGTTCATGAGAGATCTTATAGCAGCACAGCTGCATCGGTATTGCTACACAGTCTCTAGTGCATATACAGCATGGAAGGAGGAGAGGAAAAGCTAAAAATATTAAAGGACCATTAGCAAATTCATTTTGTTTCACTGATTGACAAAGATGCTGTTTTGTGGGGTTTCGCTGGGGTCAACATGAGGGCTGAATAATTCTAGGTAAATTCCCAGCATAAAATGAGATGTTGTAACTGTTAGTGTGTTACTGGATAGGATAATTCAAAATGCTCTGAAGCACAAAAAAAACCTGGCACTTGCAGTCTGAGAAGCAAAATTTCACAAGAGCTAAACCCCCAAATGGCACAGATTCAACGCAGAAAAAACTTGTTAATAAAATGTAAACTAAGTAAATCAAATTAAAAAGCAGCCAAGCCAAGCAGAGAGTCAGGAAATGTTAATTCTCGAGTCCAGTGCTAAACCAGCTCTCTCCAGCCAAGTCCATCTAAGCATTTAAAATACTGGGGTTCCCTGGCCGGAGGAAAATGGGACCTCTCCTGCCCAAAACCACCTAGATCATTGAGTTCTCATTTATAACTAGCTGCAATCTTTTTCAAAGCCACGGATTGCACTTGTGTTCCTTGCCACCTCCCCACTCCCCTTCTTTTCACATGACCCTCTTGGAGTCCCTTTATTCGATTCCATCATTGTCCATGATGATGCTTCCCAAGCACTTCCTGTTTGATCAAGGGGGACTGAAGGAGGCCTTGTTCCCGTCCCACATATGGCCATAAAAGGTGGTGCTGTTGAAAAGGGAATTGATCCCTTTTCTGTCCCCCAAAAGAAGAGGAGATAATCACTTATCCTACCAACTAATTTGGGAAACACTCTTCTCTAATTCTCACATTCATGCTTCTGCCATCTTTGTCGGCAGTAACCATCACGTTAAATATTTTGGAACAATTCTCTGTCACTTTCATCATCTTAGATCATTGAAACTTGAAGCGTTTTAAGCCTCTACTCCTCATCCCTGACCATTTATGCTATTTGTTTAAATTTTACTCCCTCCCCCCGACTTTGCTATGAAACTAGAGATTTGTCAGTTTCACTCTACCTCTAGCCTAGGATGTAAAAAATCATTTAAAAACGTAACAAGACTTTTCCGTTGGAAGCATTTGCGGAGGATCATGCCGGTCTGGACGTAGCCAGTGAGCCTATGAGTCTGTGAACCATGTAACTGCTAAAAAGTCTAGTAGTTATACATGCTACAGGCTCCCAGGGAGTCAGCATGCAACTGTAGTGGAAAGGTTAACTGTTTTAAACAGTTGCACATTTACATCCTTAGTACAGCCCACTTCACGAACTGGTGAAGAGAGATCAGTCCCACATTGCACTGTCAGAATGTGGCATCAACTTCCCTTCTTCCCCTCAAAAATCCACCCCTGTTCCCAAATCTCAAAACTTTGTCTCTTTAAAAAAGGTTCAGTAAAACTTTTTAAAGACACTGGAGAACGTCTCTTTAAATAAAAGCAAGAGGGAAGTGGGGGGACGCTGCTGCCTCATCGTTCTCAAACAAATCTCTTTTCTATTGGCGCTGACTGCAGGCAGAGAGGAAAAGGAAACAACAGTCAGGACTTTGGAAAGGGTGTGTGGGGTAGGTGGATAATAGAAAGGCCTTCTGTGTGCGCGACTGTCACAATCTGTGTGTATGACAAAAAGTAGCCCAGTTGGTCAGGATATTAGCCCACCAGCCCCTCAAATATGGTAAGCAACAATGAGAAAAGATTTAAAATAAACAAGCCTTTTCCAGCAGTCTCAGAAATCAAACAATAAAGACACCCACTCTTGTCACTCCCACTGTGCCAATGGGATCCTGGGCAGTATAAAGTACGTTTTTTAAAATAGATAAATAAAAGCAAAAGCACAGGAGACATGCATCTGCCTCCACGCCCTAGAGGCAGAAGAAAGTAATTTCAAGTAAAAGCAATAAGCTGACTAGACATAACATACGGGAGTTTTCATCAATGTCAACCCAGCAATAAAATACAATCTCCTGGTGCTGACTAATTGCCTCAAGAGCTCAGGAAATAAAGGGATGGCATGTAATGAACTTTCCTCTTGGAGGACCAGGAAACAAAGTGGCATGTAATGAACTTTCCTCTTGGAGAAGGAACCCACCAACCAGAAATCAGTAGGGTTGAAATAAAAAAGGATAATACCTAGTAGCAGCTAGGTGTACAGCTAGTTCGGATTAGGAAGCCTAATCCGAACTAGCTAGTTCGTGCCGCGTGTAGCCGCACGGCACGCAGTCCGAACTAGCCGGCATTTAAAAATGGCGCCGGCCGGCTTTATGCAAATGAAGCCCGAGAAATTCAAATCCCAGGCTTCATTTGCAACTCCGTATGACTACATTACCCCCCCCAGTTCGAACTAGGGGGGTAGTGTAGACATACCCTGAGATCCTCCTTCTCCCAGGTATCTGTTCTCTGTATGCCTGTCTCCCTCAGACATTCCATGTCCTTTCCCTATGCCCCTGTTTGGACACACATTTGCAAACCAGTGCCCCCACTCGCAACACTAGCTGTTCAGAAGTAACCATCCTAAAAAGCTATTGAATCCAGAGCTGCACATACATCACTGCTTTCAGCTAAACAGCCTCACACCAAGGCTGGCGCTCAGGAGTTTCAGCTCCAAAAGAACACAAGTCTCTAGTATCTGAACTATTAGCTAGTAGTAGCAGCAGACGACCTATTATATTCTACAAGCCAGTGTTGTAGAATATATTCTCAACCAGGGGTACATATATCCTTGGGGGCTTGCAGAGGTCTTCCATGGGGTACATCAAATCATCTAGCTATTTGCCTAATTTTACAACAGGCTACAAAATATCATTAGCAAACTCAGTACAAACTAAAATTTGATACAGACAACTAGTTTATACTGCTATGTATTAGGGATGTAAGAATTTAACCATTTAACTGATAAGCATCAGCTTACCTGTTTCGGTTGCGGTTCAACTCTTCTGATGGTGCGCGCCAGCTACCACCCCACGCTGCAGGCTGTGTAGTATAAGCCTTATACTGCAGAGCCCAAAGCGCAAGTAACCGCTAAGATTTTTAATGGTTAAAAGGTTATTCTTTTAAATGTTTTCTACATCCCTGCTATATATACACTGTACACTAACATGTAAGTATAACATTTATATTTCAATCAATGTATTTTATAATTATATGGTAAAAATGAGAAGAAGTTTTTCAGGAATTGTGTGCTCTGACACTTTTGAATTTTTAAGTCTGGTTTTGTAAACAAGTAATTTTTCAGGGAGGTGAATGTTGGAGGTACACAAGGAAAACCTGAAAGGGATACAGTCATCTGAAAAAGTTGCTATGACCCCACCATTAGCAGGTGAAATGATCACACATTCATTTAGAGGCTCAAGTCACAAACCAAGAATTACTATTCTTTCTTCACCCAGCATAGCAGGATGGAGCATCCTTCTTGACAAGCACAGAAAGGGCTGTGACCTCAGGTGGGGGAAGGAAGCCAAGATTTTGTGGTCTCTGAGTCCCATCCTCCAGCCCAGATTGTAGCCAGGCAGCTAAGCAACACACTGCTTGGTTGAGTACAGGTTAGATACACATATGGTTCGGTTGTAAATCTAAATGAAGTGGAACAAGAATGCAAAGCAGGGTTGCTTATGCAATAGCTGCTGCTATGCTTTGCAGTGCAGCTTCATGCCTGCATTAATTGTGGGCCGGCCTGAAAACAGTCCTCTAGGGGATGCGAAAAGCAAACCACAAGTGCTCGGTGACATCATGCTAGAGCGAACATGCCTGCAGGAACCCAAGTGCAAGCAAATCAGACTGACAATCAACCCTCTAGCCCAGTGCCCTTCTCTCATGGCTTACTCCATAGTCCTCATCACATAAATGGAGCTTTTTAAGGGCAAGTTAAATCTATCCTCCCTCCCCACTGGGCCTCCTTAACCCCAGGAAAGCCAAGCATGTGTTCACTGTGCGCATGCATGTGCGCAGGTTGCAAAGCCTTATCCAGTAAGCTGTTTTGCCACCCACTCAGTCCTGCATTGGTGGCAGCCAACTCCTGTCTCGCCAAGATTAACACTGTGACTCTTGGAACCCTCTTTCATTTCATCAGATTGCTGCATAACACACATGGCCCCAACAGTGCTTATAGGGATACTCTAATTAATGGTGCCAGCTGCCACAATGCAGGAGGAGGGAGATACTAAAGAACATCCTAGAGCAGCTTGCTGGAGGAAGGTGAAGCCTACTGCCCCAAGAGAAGGATCTATCCAGAACCATTGCTAACACATGCTGAGACTAGTAGGGGATTGCATCCTTAGCTGGTTAACATGGAATGGATGTCCTTGCGATGCCTACTCCAGGAGCACTTCCTGGTGGCTATAGGAAGGGCCTGTATATGAAGTTGAGAGTGAATGGGAGTCTAGAAAGAATGGAGACTCAGAAAGATGGCTTTGGTATAAATTTGAGCTCAAGACTACAGTCTGCAGCAGGCTACGAGGGGACACGTCAGTCCTGGCAGCTGCTGCTTTACGAACAGAGCAACCACCACCAAGTGGTCAGAGTCAAACAAGTTAAGAAACAGAACAGCCACTGGTCCCTTACCTCCTGTCATTGCCGAAGAGCCGGGCCACCTCTTCCCTTCCGGGGCTGCGGGCCCGGGTCCTCTGCTCCAGCCGTTTCCTCTCCACCTGGAAGGCCTCCCGGTTACTGATCCTAACGGCCTTGGGGACATCGGCCAGGGTGGCGTACTGCCGACTGGCTTTCAAGGAAAGGGAGCGGTCCGGTCTTTCTGCTCCCCTTCCCCTGTCTCTGCTGCTGCAGTCCTTCCCCATGGGGTAAGTGCTCTTTGAATCCAGGGAGTTGAGGGAGAAGCTGGAAACCATTCGGTTGTTTGAGCTGGTACCTGGGGAAGGAAAGGGGTGGCTGTGCTCCTGGGAGGGCGATTTGGGGTAACTGTACCTGTTGTTTGGAGTGCTGGGGCTGGGTGGGGATGGTGGAGGTGGCAACTGTTGCTCTTCCAACTTCGAGTCTTGCTTGGTCTTTTCCAAGGAAAAGTAACCGCTCTCAACACGCGCCTTCCGCCCGCAGTCTATCCGGTCGCCATTCATTGCGCTCTCATCTACAAGACGGAGCAGAAAACAAGAGGAAGGAGTTGGGCGGAGGTTGCTACGCTTGGTTCCAAACGTGATTCTGCCTCCCCTGCATTTGAATAAGAGAGGACTTCAACACAAACTGTCTGGTCTCCACAAAACAGGAAGGAACCACCACTTCCTGCATTACATTCACTGCCTATGGACCCAGATCCAAACCTGACCTGAAAGACCCTCCTCCCGAGGGAAACTGGGAGCTCAATTTCACGATCCATTGCATCTTTGGCTTCCATGCCCACACCTGCCAAAAAGGTTGATAAGAAGAACAGGGGCTTTTGCAATGTGGCAAATGACCTGAGAGGTAGCAAACTAGGACTCACCAATCACCAGCATTTCACACTTGGATTACTGAGCGCCCCATGTGAAGCTCCCAAAGATGTATGTGGGGATGGGTGGTTTTGACATCTTTACAGCAGGGAAAAAGCTGACCAATGACAACAGAGGCTTCCACAGCAGCGGGAATGTAGCTAGCAGAATGCCAGCAACTGTCCAGCCAGCTTCTCATCTCCGGTCAGGAGTCATCCTACTGCAGAAGTGCCCAGAAAGCCTCCCCTTATTGCTCTGTGTCCCAGCATGCAATGATCTGACCTACACGGCCGCCATAGAGTCTGGGAGGTGGGACACAACAGGGAAAAGTGGCTGTTTTCTTAACACATAAAGAGGAGGCTTTTTAACAAGGGGCTGGGGCCATGTGAGAAGGAACTCCATGGCTCAGCCCACAATACCAATGCATTTCCTAATCACATGTGAAATCAATTTTGATGGTGTCTCATTCCAGTAAAGCAAAAGGGTCGTGAGAGCTGAACAAGAGAGTGGAAGGTACATTAACAGCTGAGGGAAGCTTGGCTCCATCAACAGCTCCTCATTTCTTCCTCCCCAGACAAAATGGAGAGCTAGGAGAAGACTGAAGCCTCAGCTACAATTCAGGTACCAGGCCCTCCATCTGAGTGAAAATGAAAAACAGCAGCATGCCTTCTTTTGCCAGAGTAAGTTAGTGCCCACCAGTCACTAAGCCAGCAAAGACAAGGGCATTCAGGAAAGGGAATCCCTTTGCACCAAAGCTTCCCCACTGCTCTGGCTATAGAAAGCAAAAGGAACACTTCCCGTTTTGCATTCACCCCAGCAGAGTCATTTGTTTTCAAGGGTAAAAGTATCCTGCATCTAACCACTGCACTTCCTGAATTCTTGGCCACTAGAACAGGGGTGGCCAACCCATTTAACAAAGAACCAAAACAGCGGCAGAAAAAATGTGAAGAGCCGCACCAGAATTGTCAAGGAAGGGGGGGGGGGAATTTAAAAAAAGGATGTTGCCCCTTAAGAAACAAACTTAGGTTTTTTTACCATATCAGGCACTCGTCGACAGGTGCCATCTTGGGCACCATTCTGAATTGCTGCCCCGGTGAGCACAGGGGAGCCGGGGGTGGAGGCTGCAGGAGCAGCTTCGCAAGCCACACTTTTGGGGGAGAAGAGCCACATGTGGCTTGCGAGCCATGGGTTGGCCACCCCTGCACTAGAAGATTCTCCACATGTAATACGTGTGTAAGTCTGGAATGTAGAGAAAACGGTTTTGATCCAGGCAGACTTGACTGGGTGTGGATGGGTGGTCTACTTCCAGCAGCGACTTTCCCATCCATTCTGAAGATTATAAGATTGATGATAAATTATTTTGTTTTCTCCAACCAAAAAACAAGTGAACGAAAGGCAGAACCTGTGGGAGTTACACACACACGCACACTCTCTCTCTCACCCCCACTCCCTGCCCATGGCCTCATCTCAAGGTGTCAAGGGCAAAAGCTTATTGATTCATCCAAATGAGGGCTCTGCTGATACCAGCTAATTCACAGAGACACAAAGGGAGCAGTCCTCTTCCATTAGCTAATCCCAAGAGAGCAAGGAGGAAAACAAATCACTTTAGCTAGCCACTCAGACCATGCAGATAAAGGAAACAGACTCCACTTCCCCCCACCTCCACCCTGATTTATCCAAGGGGAACACAGAACACAAAGCAGGAAGAAAGCCCGGACCCCTATTGTTTCATTTAGAACAATACTGCAAACTTGAGCAGCTTCCATGGACTAATCAGAGGAGACAAAATGTAAACAGCTGCTCTGATATAGGGTTGGGGGGGAGGAAGCAGCACCTTGGTGCTTGGCAATAACACAGGGCCAACTGCAGGCAAGTGCCTCTCGGCTTCCCTTAACGGCACTGTTCCCCAATCCACCGGAAAGTTGTCGATGGGTCATCGGTCCAGTCCAGAGGAGAGGCCACTGGGTGGGGGAGGGGGAGTGAGCCCACCTCACATTTGCCCAGCAGCAACTGCTCCTGTCCCACAGAACTGGGCTGAGAGGGCTGCTCTAGATGGTTGAGGAAGAGGAGGCGGCGGCAGCAGCAAAGGAAAATGGCATCTGATTTTGCATTAGGATTCTGGGTGGGATGCAAATTAAAGCAAAATGCAGCTGGTGGGCTGCCTTAGTTTGGGAATCGTTCAGCTAGCAGCTAGTATAAAGGAGCATGATCAATATTCAAAAGCTCATTTATGCCAAAGGAAATTTCCTTCCCTTGGAATCACATCCATAAGAGAAGCAAAAGCCCTGTGAAGTCATCTCATCCCTCTCCTTGCCTCTGTCTTCCAGTACTTTATCCAGATTTTTCCCTTTCTGAAGTTCATATCCTTATTCACAGTTATCCCTCTTCCCCTCCGTACCACCCCACAGAATGCTGCACTCTAGGGATGTAAGCGAGCAGTCGACTAACCAATACGCCTCAGCTTATCAGTTAGTTGAGTTGACTACTTGCATTCCCCCCCTTGCTGCCTCTATGAGAGGCAATAAAGGGGGGGAAGCAGGAGCCGGTGCTGGGGGGAGTCGGCTTAAAAGCCTTATCCCCCTCAGCACCATCTCTGCAGTGCCACTTGCCCCCACCCCTGCGCTGGTACCTCTGCAGCAGAGGTAGGTCCCAGACCCGGCACAAGCCAGGCCCAGATTCACGATGGGTAGAGGCTGCTCTGGCAGTAGCCCCTGTCCACAGAGAGGAAGGGGGGGAGGTACATCTCTCTGCTGGGCCCTCCTGCGGACAGAATCATAGAATCATAGAATACTAGGGCTGGAAGGGACCTCGAGAGGTCATCGAGTCCAGCCCCCTGCCCTCATGGCAGGACCAAATACGGTCTAGACCAGTGGTCTCCAACCTTTTCAGGTTGCCGGGCGCCAGGGGGCGTGGCCGTTCGCCTGCCGGGCGCCAGAGGGCGGGGACACTTGCGCGCTCGGGGCGGCCCCTCTCCCCATAGCCGTGTGCCCGGGGGCAGGGCCCCCCTATGCACTGCACCCCGGGGGCAGGGCCCCTTCCAAGGGCCGCACGCCCAGGGCCGGTACCCCGCCCCAAGTGCCCAAGTATTCTAAGGCCCTTCCCTCTGCCCACAGCCAGAAACTGGAAGAATCTCCAGTGCAGAGGAGTGTATTCTGGATAGTGGTGAATAAGCTGGGTTGAAATAGGACCAGAGAAATTGAGAACATTTCAATGATGTCCTACACTGTCAAGCCTTGCTTGCGAATAGTCTCCTTCAGATCAGATCTGAGAGCCAAATCCTCAGCTGATACCACAGGAAAGAGGCTGATTGGCCCCAGCTGAGGTTCTGGTTCTGCAACTTGACCACAGGGATAGGAAGGAACACTGAGTCAGACACCCCCTGCTGTCATGGAGACTTTTTAAAATTACTCCCCCCCCACCTCAAGTGCGAGGCTTGTAGAAAGAACTCTTCCTGAGTCTCCCAGTGTGAAAAAAGAACCTATTGTCCATTAAAGACCTGTAATTCTAGCCAGACAGAATCAAAAGGCACCCAAGGATCCCAACATGCTACTTGACTAAAGGGGAACCAGAAGAAGAAAAAAAAGAATGAATTAGCGGCAGAGCCCTGCAGAAATGCTCTGCACCCAGAGGAGCAATCTTGCTGTCTCCCCGGGAGATCTTGCCTAGTCATCTCTATCCTGTCCATGACTTGCTCAGTCTTGGCTCATGCCAGGTTCAGGACCTACCCCAGCTGCAGCTCTTCAGTTCAAATGTACTAGAAGCCAGGCTGCCCATCTACCCCCCTGGCTCTTACTACATTTAAACTGCAGATCCGCAGAAGTGGTAGCTCCCAGACCGGGCATAAACTGGGTCTGAGTTCTTCTTCTCTTATCAACTAATCCTATAGGTAATAAAAATTCTATCGACTACATGATTAGTGAATTACCTGCCACTTAACATTCTTACTGCACTCTTCACAAACGTGTAGGCTGGCATTGTGCTGAGCTATTCCCACTGTATTAAGAGTATTCAAAGTGTGGGTGGAAGACAGGATAAGAGGGGAATCTAGTTTTCTCTTCACCACTGATGTCTGTTTCTTCTTATTTTGGACTTTGTCCAATTCACGACAATGATACAAGCCCAAGTCCATGCCTGCACTATCTACCCAGGTAGTTATGTTTGTAAATAAATACACAAAGACAGGAAAACATTTCTATTCACATTTTAAATGAGAGTAAGTTTAGGCCAAACTCTCAATGTGGAGAGCCACATCACTCCAGTCAAGCTATGCAATAAAATCAAAAACTGCTGCAGGAAAACCTTCCACTGCTAGTAACAACTAGGGATTAATCAGCCATTAATAATAGCATTTGACACTTTTAAAGCACTTCCATCAGCAGATATCATAGCACTTGACAAACAGTAGATTTCACAACCTCCCTGTCAGAGAGGGAAGGTATTAGAGAACACCTTTCAGAGGGGTAAGGTAAGCGTTTGAGGTGATTTGACCAACAATCTCTCAGGCCCTGCTCTAAGTCACTAGCTAGGGTAAAAAAGAAAGCTCCCCTCAATCAGGCACTGAAGACTGCCAGGGTAGAGGAGCACAAGTATGTCAGCGTCCGTCTGATCCTTACCTTCTTTGCTTTCCATCACAGGTTCCTTCAAGGAGCTGGCAGGCATGGCCTGGCTCTGCATGGGGCTCTGGGCTGGGCTGATGCTACTACTCCCATCCAGTTGATCTTTGCCCCTCATTTCTTCTTGCCACAATGTGGACTTAGTTGTGGGGACCTTCTCTGCATTAGGAATGTTGCTACTGGTGACAGCCATCTTAGCGGGGCCAGGTTCCTGAAGAGAACAGGAAAGACACTTGGTTATCATTGCATATTCTCTATGGCCTCGCGCCAGTCATCCCAACTTACCATAGGCAGGAAAACCTATGGTTCCCTGTCTGGGAACACATGGACCACGTTACCCCAAGCTCCTAAGCCACATGGCATTTCAATGCACTCACAAAGAGGAAGCGTATTTGCCCTCCTTCAATGATCAGACTTGTACATTTCAAATGCTGGCAGGTCTAAATGCTGCTCTTAAGTAGGGCAGGCTAATTCAATGCTTTCTTAAGCAAGGCAGCTAGCACCGCTCTGAGAAAGAAATGGGAAATGTCTTTAATATGCTTGCCCAATGGAGAGACCAGGAAACGGCCCATATTGCCTTCTCCATCCAGCTGGAGAAAGAGCGCCAAGGTAAGCTCACAAATGATGGAAGCCTATGGACCCAGAGAAGAAGCAGATCAACGGGGCAGAGGCCTCTTTGCTTTGCTGTGTTTTCTTTTCCAATAGGAACTGTCCCTCCCAGCTTGGCAGCCTAGGACACAGCACAGTACCAGCGCTTTTAACTGTGCGTTTGCATAACAGACCTGCAGCTCAGCCACCATACGCCAGCCCTGACTGCGACACCCACTGCCGGCTCTTGTGCCTCAGGACTGAGGGATGCTGTCCCATGCAGCATTTGAGATTGATCAGAAAGAGCTCAGGCTGAAATAGATTCTAACTGGGATCAGCTTCCTGGAGGGGCTACTGAGACCCAGCAAACTCACTTCATTTTGACCCAATCAAGGACAAGAATGCTTGTGCAAGGCCAGTGTTGTCACTTGCGACAGAACCGTCTCAGTACAGACCAACAGGAGTTGTAGACATCTTTGCCACATATGTGTCTAAGATGTCTCGTTACACGGCTGTTGGTTAAGGATCTTACAAGATTATAACAATACTCCCTCCCTCCAAGTATCACAACACCTCCCACAGCCAGCTAACAATGCAGCCACCTCTGGGGCAGAAGCAGTGATATTTTGACCAATCAGGGTGTTGAACATGCATTCTAAAAACTTTCGGTGGATTTGTACTCTGACGCTGAACATATAGGCTACCTGCTTGGACCTCTCCACAAACATTTCCTCTGTCGTGTCTTCATATCCAAGAAATGCACATCTCCAACCCCTCCTCTCCCTTTCATCTTCAAGGACTGGAAAAATCAGTTTCAGCCACAAAGCATTTCCATCAGGATGGCAGGGAGCAGCTGGCCCTGGACCCCACTTCAAGTGGAACACTGCACTGGGCTCTACATTCTTCAGCCTGGAGGGTGGCTTTCCCCTCAAAGCAACGTTTCAAAAACTGTCAGCACCTCAGAGGGCAGCAAACCTCCCCAGAGAGGGGAAGCTTTGAAGCCCAGCCAGGCCCTGGATCTTGGAAAGCAGAGCCAAGAGTAAATTCTCATCTGATCAATGTGCCCGCTTTTGGCAAAGCTGCCCTAACTGGGTCAGTCAACAGGGAACATGGAAGAGGGCCTGGAGCCAAGGAGCCATGTGTGTTGAACTCTTGCCCAGAAGACCTTCTTAGACTCAGGACTCTGAGCCTTCTAGAACCCATCAAGTTGCATTTCAACAAGGTTCCATTTGCGAGAAGGCGACTATTACCTGAAAAATTCCCCTGGCTAGAAACAATGAGCACAGCCTACCACCCCGGGCACCTCCTCAAGAGCTCAGCTGGTTTAGACAAAGAAGGGCTTTATGTAAGTAGAAAGCAGATTATACGCTGAGGGGAAAGAGGAACATGTGAGTTTGGGCATACCCTCTCCCTCCCCGACAAACCACTATGTTTTTCAGTCAGAACAGGGGTTATTTTTCAGCTACCACAAGTCCTACTATCTAGCCTGGTGTTCC